CAAATGGACTGCCACAGCGCTTGCAAAGATTCAACAATCTTAAAACGTTAATGGTTAAGCACCAGAAGGGAAATCAAAGTCACAAACTCTAGACGAACAACCTTATATCCTGTAGCAATATAAGATTGTCAGTCACGGACTATCTCACATTCATTAAGGAGAAAACACAGGGGCCTAGGAGCTGAAAGCTACACAAATATATTTCGCAGTATCAATGGACCAAGAAAAAAAGACAGAGAAAAGAAATAATGACATCTGGGAAAAGATCTGGAACATCAAGCGAATATTTCGCTTGTAAACAGCATCCCTCTCATGGAAAAACCTGAAATATATTTTTGGCTCACATAAAGTGTCACAGAAATTGCACACCAAAAAAAAAAACAGATTTACCGGTCAGTCGAAGAGACTTGTTTGGTTTTAGGAGCCTATCCTGATTACTGAGTTAAGGGAATCTACATCTATAGCACACTGGGGCATACCCATAGGTGCTATCTTTCTAGTCTTCCACACAGGATGCCTTAAGGGTGCAGATGTGCTAACTGTTCACGTTATTTTAGCGTAGCACCACTGACTTTACACACGGCGTTCTCTTCCATCTCATAATTTGTCTTCTCCCCCCCTCCCCCACCCCCCCCCCTCCCCACTGGCCAGATACAACACTGTAATTTCCTAATCACAAACATTCTTCGCACATGTGTTAATTTTCATCTAATCTTATCTCGTGTGTCTTCTGTCAAACGTTCTTTCGTATAAGGTCTCCAGAATAATCAACCCTTGTCCAGTACACGAGTGCTCTCATAGAACTCTCGTTTTGTAGCCAGAAAATCAGACTTCTTTTTATTCCCTCGTACTCCCTGCATAGCCAGACAGTTTATATCCACGCGATTCCCCTATCCAGTTTTTTACTAAACAGGCAAAAATCATTTTATTATTCAAAAATAAAATGTGAGTTTTAAACGTTGGTTAGGGGGGGCTGACATTTTCGACAGAGGGGGCGTACTAGAACAACAAGGGGGGCAGGGTTTTTTGGACCAGCACGAATGGTGGGCCTATGATATAAGAGGAACTTTGGGTTTGGTAGAAAAGTGCACAAAGGCTGGATAGCTTGGCAAGGAGAGATCATGTTTTCCAAGGTGAGAAAATTATTCGGTAAAAGTAAGGACCTGCTACATGATGATTAATTCTCATTATTAAGATTCAAATGGGAAGAAACACTTGTAACGTTAATTCTGTGTTCTCTGGCTTGTCACATTGTGTGTGGGCACATTAAATTGTAAATGTTTACAGTTGTAAGGGTTCACTCCTTCAAGTGCTCTCTTGTAGCTCAGCTGACTATCTTGACTAAAGGAAGCACCAACACAATTACCACCCAAAACTTGTAAGGATTCTCTTCTATATGTTACTGCATGTGTTGATTTAGATAGTAAACATCAGCAGAAGATGCAGCAAAATTATTTTCACTCGCCCAAATATGCAAGTGACACATGGAAAATTGCTAACCTCATTGTTTAATGATCTTTCTAGGATGAGGCTCTATGTACTGGTCTATGGAACATTGCTAACTGTATTGTTTGATGAACTTTCTAGGATGAGGCTCGAGGTTCTGGTCCATGGAACATTGCTAACTGTATTGTTTGATGAACTTTCTAGGATGAGGCTCGGGGTTCTGGTCCATGGAACATTGCTAACCGCATTGTTTGATGATCTTTCTAGGATGAGGCTCGAGGTTCTGGTCCATGGAACATTGCTAACTGTATTGTTTAATGATCTTTCTAGGATGAAGCTCGTGGTTCTGGTCCATGGAACATTGCTAACTGTATTGTTTAATGATCTTTCTAGGATGAGGCTTGAGGTTCTGGTCCATGGAACATTGCTAACTGTATTGTTTAATGATCTTTCTAGGATGAGGCTCGGGGTTCTGGTCAATGGAACATTGCTAACTGTATTGTTTAATGATCTTTCTAGGATGAGGCTCGGGGTTCTGGTCCATGGAACCCCTCCCCCATTGCTAACTGTATTGTTTAATGATCTTTCTAGGATGAGGCTCGAGGGTTCTGGTCCATGGAACATTTGCTAACTGTAATTGTTTAATGATCTTTTTTTTAGGATGAGGGGGGGCCTAGGTACTGTGTCCATGGAACATTGCTAACTGTATTGTTTAATGATCTTTTCTAGGATTGAAGCTCGTGGTTCTGGGTCCATGGAAAACAGTTGCTAACTGTATTGTTTAATGAATCTTTCTAGGATGAGGGGGGCTCTAGGCTAAACTGGTCCCATGGAACATTGCTAACTGTATTGTTTAATGATCTTTCTAGGATAAGGCTCAGGCTTCTGGCCCATGGAACATTGCTAACCGCATTGTTTAATGATCTTTCTAGGATAAAGCTCAGGCTTCTGCCCCATGGAACATTGCTAACCGCATTGTTTAATGATCTTTCTAGGATGAGGCTCTAGGTCCTGGTCTATGGAACATTGCTAACTGCATTGTTTAATGATCTTTCTAGGATGAAGCTCTAGGTCCTGGTCCATTGAACATTGCTAACTGTATTGTTTAATGATCTTTCTAGGATGAGGCTTGGGGTTCTGGTCCATGGAACATTGCTAACTGTATTGTTTAATGATCTTTCTAGGATGAGGCTCGTGGTTCTGGTCCATGGAACATTGCTAACTGTATTGTTTAATGATCTTTCTAGGATGAGGCTCGTGGTCCTGGTCCATGGAACATTGCTAACTGCATTGTTTAATGATCTTTCTAGGATGAGGCTCGTGGTCCTGGTCCATGGAACATTGCTAACTGTATTGTTTAATGATCTTTTTAGGATGAGGCTCAGGTTTTCTCTGGTCTATGGCCATGAACATTGCTAACTGTATTGTTTAATGATCTTTTTCTAGGATAAGGGCTCTGGCCCAGGCACATTGCTGGTCCCCATGGAACATTGTCTGGCTAACCGTATTGTTTAATTGATCTTTCTAGGATAAGGCTAAGAGCTTCTGGCCCCATGGAACATTGCTAACTGCATTGTTTAATGATCTTTCTAGGATAAGGCTCTAGGTTCTGGTCCATGGAACATTGCTAACCGCATTGTTTAATGATCTTTCTAGGATAAGGCTCAGGCTTCTGGCCCATGGAACATTGCTAACCGCATTGTTTAATGATCTTTCTAGGATAAGGCTCAGGCTTCTGGCCCATGGAACATTGCTAACCGCATTGTTTAATGATCTTTCTAGGATGAGGCTCGAGGTCCTGGTCCATGATCATCCTCATTTGAGATTCTGGCCCCTGAGTAAACTTAGTTAAACAGCTCTAATGTATGTGCTCTCTTAGGACTTGATAATTGAACTATCTTGACTAAAAGACACCAAAAAGATCATGCATGGTGTTTAATGTAGTCATCTTCAGTCATTACAACAATCATCACATCAATTAGGTATTTTTAATATATGTGTGAGCTCTTTGAAATACCAAACTGCTTATCTAGGACACACCTTATTCATGTTAGTTTCTCCTATATTTGTTTCATATATGATGCTTGAGATAAGTAACTTCCAAGAAAGAAGCACTAAAAACATCCTGTGTGTAAACATGCTGTACTGTGTGTATCCTATGGCATTTCAGAACAGCAGCTTCAATAACAGTGGCACACAGACATCAAATCTGTGAAGTCTCTTCCTTACAAGCGTCCACTTGCATTTTGCAAGATCCGCCACATATTTCACCACAGTCAACACATTTGTGAGGTTTCTCTTGTGTATGTTTTCTTTGGTGTTTTTTAAGAATGCTAACTCTGGTGAACGCTGCATCACAAACATCACATTTGTAAGGTCTCTCTCCAGTATGTGTTCTTTGATGACGTTTTAGAACACCCCCTCCGGTAAAGCCAACACCACAAACATCGCACCTGTAAGGTTTCTCCCCCGTATGTTTCCTCTTGTGTTCTTGAAGGTGACCACTCTGAGCGAAAGATACGCCACAAATATCACACTTGTACGGTTTCTCTCCTGTATGTGTTCGCGTGTGTTGTTTCAGATGAGTAAATGTAATAAAAGATGCATCACACTCATCACATTTATAATGTTTTTCTCCCGTGTGAGTTATTTTGTGGCGTTTGAGAGTACCGGCTTCGACAAAAGATGCATTGCAAATATCGCACTTGTAAGGTCTCTCGCCTGTATGTATTTTCTTGTGTCGGTTAAGATAACCGTCTCCAACAAAAGATGCACCACAGATTTCACATTTGTAAGGTTTCTCTCCTGTATGTTTTCTCTTGTGTATTTTAAGATTACTACTCTGAGTAAAGCTTGCCTCACATTCATCACATTTGTAAGGTTTCTCTCCTGAATGTGTTAACTTATGTAGTTTAAGATCACCATTTCTACCAAAAGATGATCCACAAATATCACATTTGTAAGGTTTCTCTCCAGTATGTGTTCTTATATGTCGTTTAAGATTACCAGCTTCAATAAAAGAAACATCACAAATATCACATTTGTAAGGTTTCTCTCCTGTATGTGTTCTTATGTGTCGTTTAAGAACACCATTTCCAGCAAAAGTTGCATCACAAACATCACATTTATAAGGTCTCTCGCCTGTATGTATTCTCTTGTGCTGTCTTAGATAGCGACCTAGAGTAAAAGCTGCATCACAAACATCACACTTGTAAGGTCTCTCTTCAGTGTGTGGTTTCTTGATTAGTTTAAGACGATTGACTTTAGTCAAAGATGTACCACAAATATCACATTTGTAAGGTCTATTTCCAGTGTGCCTTCTCCTGTGATGTTTCAGATTGCCGGTTATAGAAAACAATGCACCGCAAACACCACATTTACAAAGCTTCTCCGCGGCATGTGATGTCTTGTTTAGGTTCAGATGACTAATTCTAGTAAACGTTACAGCACAATCCTCACACTTGAACATAGTCCTTACTGCATGTGCCCTATGATGGTACTTCAGAGTGTCAGTGTCAATGCAAGATGCTCCAAAGACATCACACATGTAAGACCTACCCCCTGCATGCAACATTTTATGTATATTTATATATTTTTCTACACTGGCCGTGGAAGCACAAACACTAGACGCTTTTGATGTGTCTCCTGCTTGATTTCTCTGGTGATTAGAATTAGCAGAACCAGATGCGTGATCAAGAGATATCCCAGAAATGTGTGAATGTTCCAGTGGAGTTTCCCCATGATTTGACTGATAGTGTTCATGAGTAGGACGTAGTTTTTGATCACTTTCAAACATAGGAAATACGCTCTGTGATATGTGGGAAGAATGCTCGGGTTTTTCAGACGTATAACTATTTATTTCACTATCATCAAGTGAAGTTTCTTCGTGAGATGTTTCATCTTCAGATGATTCTGAGTCTGTGCTGTTTGGCTCTGACATTTGTTCAGTGTCTTCCAAGCTACTGTCCTCACCAAATTCATCAGATGGTTCTTGTTTGACCAGCCCCAAGTCTAAACCCTCACCCATCTCATCCTTCTCCATTTCTGGATGTTTCCTCTACAGAGCCAGGGATGCCAAGAGAATAAGGATGTATTTCTGAAGACACAGAGAGTGAACACTGGGTTAAAAACTTCATATAGATATGCCATGTAACATACTATGGACAAATACACAAGTGTAATCTAGTCAATTCGTTTACACTGTTGATACATGTGCAAGCATATATCAATCTGATGCAAAAGCATAACCTCACAGATGTGTAAGCGCAGTCAAATACAATGTGGATAATTTACATAATCTAGCATTTGTGTAAGCTCAATTTCACAAATGTATAACTGTATCATAACAAATGGCTTGCACATGTTGACTATGTGTAAGCACAATTTTAAAAAAGGTCAAAGCACAATCTAATCTACATTAAAACTTTATCGGCCAACGCCCTCTTCTGCACAACCACAAAAGAAGAATGACAAGGCACGTTTGGATTTCATAAAAATTAATTAAATCTTTTAGCAACAAGAAACAGAAAGAACAAAGGGTTCGATTAAAAAAAATGCGAAGAAGCAGTAACTTAGAAAAAACCTGGCTAATGTGGCTAAATGATATCTGCAACATACTAAATAAAGACAAATATAGATAGAATGTCAAGAAGCTACAAAAACTGGATAAGAAGTATAAGAAACCTCAAGTATAGGACACACTTATTTAAAAAAAAAATAAAGGTAAAGGTCAAGTCGGGAGATGTGAACCAGTGTCACTGCACACGGTTAAAAACCATAAGTGTTCTGCCACCAGTACGGACAGCTGATAAAAAAACTGCCCGCCTGTGTCGCCGTCTGCATGCAACTCCGTAGCTACAGCGACGTTCCTCCATTTTCCCCAAGACTGTCAACTCTGGTACCCATTTCCTAAAGTCTGGGTGAACCCCGGAAACCGCCCGGTTTTCGGGCTGGAGTGAATCACAGCTGGATTTGAATGAAAGGGAGCCTCCTATCGATTGCGCTAAAGCGGCCCCCAAAAATATAAGGTCTAAAACAGTTTGCATCTTATATAATGGTAGATTTCTACCAAGTGATTTGCTAGAAAATATTCTGTATACTCGTTTGGGAATGCTGGGTCGGGTTGACATGAAATGGGGAGAGAGAATTAAATTAGAAGTTCTTTTCTGCTGTAATAGTTTTTGCGCTTAATGTTTTGCACTTGTTACATTATATTACCCTTTGCCCTTAAATGTCTCAGAAAAGATTTTCATACAGCTAGAAGTTATCCAGTTTACATATTCATGAGCGTTTTGACAGTGGTGAGGAGTTTCCTGGATTCTATAATGAATAAAACGTACATTCATTAAATTTATTTCTTCATACAATATTTTTTGCACCTAATTCCCAGTCCTAAAACAAGGTGCATCTTTTATACGGGATTGTCTTATACTTGGGAAAAATAGTCAGGCAGCAAATGTGAGAATGCATTAACAATACTGTCAGTGATGTGGAAGCCAACTCACAGAACAACAAAGCCAGAAATTTTTTTAAAGAAATGAAAGCTGTAAAATTACAGCATCAACACAGCATATATGATTTAACCCTACCAGACCGCTGGCCCGATTTTCCTGGAATTTCTTAACCTGACGCTATACTGCTGGCCCTAATTTTTGGCTTTTTGCGTAGTACAGGAAAAAGATGCGTCACTGACTAAAAATAAACACCCAATCGTTATCAATCCTCTTTGTTAGACACTGCAAATGTCTGCCTGCATGTGTTTGGACTATATTTGTGTTGTTTTACGAGGACAAATTCTGAAAATTCACAATGAAACGGGCGGCTGATGAACCAAGTTCTAGGTTTTTCACAGTCCAACAGGTGATCAATACTTTGGTTTATTTAGACTCTGCGGGGTGATAATTTCATAAAGAATACGTTCTTGAAGTGACACTGTCAGTGAGAGCGCGAATGATGAGAAAAATCTTGAAAATTATAAATCTTGAAATAGATTGACAGTAGGAGAAGGGAGTGTGTCCATCAAACGGCAACATCTGGTGTTCACTATGTGAAACAAAATTGATCCTGATGAGTGGATTCGCACACAAAGGTGGAATATTGGCGCTAGATAAAAAGTAAGCCTATGTCTCCAAGTTTCATCATATTCGTTTGCATGTAACTAATATTTTATGGTTTTTCGCAGTAATGCCCAGGAGTTCACGTTATAGGTACAGTTATGTTCAGGGCCTCAGGTCTGGTAGGGTTAAATGATCAAAATGAAAACATGATAACAATGACGAAATATGTAACAGATGGAAGGAATCCGCACACATTGCTGAATTATTAGATTGTGAAACTACACTAAATACTTTTCCATAGGAAGAGATCTAACATGTGTACCAAATAATGAAGATGTACTGTATGTCATAACACAGCTGAAAAATAATAAGGCAACTGGAGCTGATGGAACTGCTGCTCAACTTATTTTTTAAAAAGTGTTCATCATTACATTTAAAGATATATGAATGAATAAAACTAGTTATGAAGAAGAGGGAGACATTACCCCATGGGTGGAAAGAGTTGTTATTAATATCCAATTTTAAGAAAGGAGCAAGTATGCATGTGAAAATTATAGATAGAGGAATATTACTATTATCTATAAGCTATAAGTTAAGATACCATTGGGTCTTTAGTGCTAACTAGGCTAAAACCATATGTTAAAGATATACTGGGTGACTATAGTGTGAGTTTGAACAGATTAACAGTAGATAAGATATTCATTCTACGGCAAATAGCAGAGCAAATTTTGGAAGTTAGAAGAGATGTAAATAATGTATTTTAGGGGTTTTAAAAAGTCACATGATGGTCTACATAAAAACAGTTGATGGAATGCTATGAAGGACTTTAGAAAACCAACAAAGTTAATCACCGTGACCAAACTATGCATGAAAGACACATAACATGTTAGCTGATACAGTGATAGGTTTGTAAAAACTTGACACAAAGGAGTTAAAAATGGTCACAGACCATGAGGTAGAAAAATAAGGCTAGATAAACAGTATACAGGCAGATCTGCAAACACTTAGAGCCACCAACTGGAAAGAGAATTACCCACAGAATAAATGGAGATGAGTATCTGCAGCAATGAACCTCCCAAATGGCTCGGCCAGAATGTGAAGACAGGTATGAAATTGAAAAAATATATTGAAGTGGAAAAAAATATAATAAATGTTAGCTATCCTCTGAATAACGGTCCCAAATTATAGGGGCCAAAAATATACCCTAACAGGGCCTCAGCCACATGTACATTGCGGACCTCTTTCCAGTGACTATACGGCCACCGACAAGAGAATCTCCCGCCGCTATGGCAAAGTGGGGCTAAACTAGATGGCTGGGACTCACGAGCAAATAAAATGAAGGAAGCTGCAGGAGATGTGAAGCCGCTGCTTGTGAGGCCTAGCCATCTATTTTAGCCCCGCTCCGCACATACAGGCGCGGGAGATACTCTCAGGAGTGACTTTAATTTGGCGGAAGCTTTTCCGCGGTATGCTGTGTAGTCGCCGAAAAGAGGTCAGCAATTTACATGTGACTGAGGCCCTGTTAGGGTATATTTTTGACCTCTATTTGGAGGATAGCCTAAAACAGCTATCTTCCGAATAAAGGTCCTAAATTACCGAGGCCGAAAATATACCCTAACAAGGCCTCAGTCACATACAATTGCGGACTTTCGGCGACCTAAATTGCGCTCTCCTAGCGATTACTGCCACCGCCGAGAGTATCTCCAAATCAGGTACACGCCGCGTGGATTGGGGCTAAACTATATGGCTGGGACTCACGAGCAGCAGCTACCGCATCTTCTGCAGCTTCCTTCATTTTATTTGCCCGTGAGCCCCAGCCATCTAGTATAGCCACAATCCACACCATGCGTAGCGGCGTCGGAGATACTTTTGGCGGTGGCGGCAGAAGATAGCTTCTTAATCTTTGTTGAACTCAACTGGACCAAGGAAATAAAGGGAAACCAAAGGCAAAGGCGAACCGGCTATCTTCCAAATAACGGTCCCAAATTATCAAGGCAGAAAATATACCCTAACAGGGCCTCAGTAACGTGTCAATTGCGCACTTCTGGGGAGTGTACCGCCACTGCCGAGAGTATTCCCCACGCTGCATGAGCGGCGTGGATTGGGGCTCACAAGCAAATAAAATGAAGGTGGCTGCAGGAAATGCGGGATTTGCTGCTCATGAGTCCCAGCCATCTAGGGATACTCTCTGCGGTGACGGAAATTGCCGGAAGTGCACAATTTAAGTTGTAGGGAAGTGCGCAATTGACACGTGACTGAGGCTCTGTTAGGGTATATTTTTTGCCTCGATAATTTGGGACCGTTTTTCAGAAGATAGCCGAAAGATGGCTCTCCTTCGAACTTCTACCCTGTCATTATGGCGTCTAAAAATATCCTTACTGGGCTCAGTCCTATTCCGGTGACACAATTAACATATCGCTGAGACTAGCGACTACAGTTTCGACAATTTGCGGTCTTTTTGGCAATTTCTGTTACCACAGAAACCGTTTGAAACTTGTTTGAGAAATGTCGACTGGGGTTTCGGGACGGGTCTTAATCTCTCATGAAATTTTGCGATTGGTGTGATTTTCACCAGCTATAAACAGCTGAAAACAGCGGGAACGAACCCGATTAACAGCGCATATCTACGACAGCCGGACGTCCTCTGTTTTTCTGTTACATCAGTTTGATTGAAAATAGCGATAAGTATTCAAAGTTGGCTTTAGGCTTTAACTGTTACCAGACATGGTAATGCTAGTTATAATTGAATTCTCCGTCCAATTTTACATTTGTGTATAAAATTTCTTTCTTGTCCGTGGCTATTTAGATTCACAGTGACATTTTTCAGGCAATCGCTATTATGTGGCTGTGTCTGAGAAAAATTGTCTGCCATCTTGTCCAATGAAAACAAAGCCAAAATGAAAGTTGCGCAGTTTGGTTGCGCAGAGAAAACTTCTTGTTTCTCAGACACAAGTTTTAGCAGCTGTTTTTTACATCTCATCTCCAC